GGGCCCTCTTGGGCCGTCTGAGGGCCTTCTTGGACCGTTTTCGGCCGTCTTGGGACGATGCTTGGGGCTTTTTGGGCCGTTTTGGGCCCGTCTGGGGGCCCTCGTGGATCGTTTCGGGCCCCTTTGAAGCGCTTCTGGGGCCGTCTTGGGACGATCGGTGAGGCCTCTTGGGCGGTCTGGGGCCCTTCTGGGATTGACAAGGTCCCTCTTGGACCGTTGTCGGCCCTTGTGGGGGCAGTCTGTGGGCCCTCTTGGACCGTTGTCGGCCCTTGTGGGGGGCCTCTGGGGCCGTCTTGGGACGATCTTTGGGGCCTCTTGGGACGCCTTGAGCCCGCCGGGGGGCCCTCTTGGACAGTTTTCGGCCCCTCTGGGAGGCCTCTAGGGCAGTCTTGGGACGATCTCTGGAACAAAAAAAAAGGAAGCCCGAACCACTTGCAAACACCACCACAGGAACATCCATGTGTTTGGCCTCCTCAGGCCCTCTCGGGGGCCCTCTGGAGCCGTCTCGAAGCTTTCTCGAACCGTTTGGAGGCCATCTGAAGCCCTGTTGTGGCCGCTTTGGGGCCCTCTGGGGCCGTTTTGGGGGCCCTCTGGGGCCGTCTTGAGGCCCCGTGGCAGTTCCACCCAAGCAAATACGAAGAAACAGGCCATGGGAGCCGCCCGCGAGTCGCATCACTCGACAACATGCAAAAACAACTGGCCATTACCACACACCTGCGTTCCGCCTCGCCCCTCCCCTGGACCCCCTCCCTAGAGGGCTTCGCCCCACCAAAACGTCCTCACTCGTACCTCGCTCTTTCCGTTACCTAGGCCCGCACGGGAACGGAAAGAGCGCTGCGTAAACTTGCCCGGGATGGCTCATGGGACCCTTCGCTCTTGGGAGACTTGGCGTGAAGAGCTTGTCGCGCCACCGCTCTCTGTTGAGGGCCCTGCTGCCGCTCGCTCTTGGAAGCCTTGCTGTTAAGAGCTTGTTGCGTCACCGCGCTCTCGGGAGCCTTGGTGTTAAGAGCTCCTTACATCACCGCTGTTGGGAGCCATGACGTGCAAGAGCTTGTTAGGTAACTGTGAATTCATCGGAAGCTTGGTGATCAGAGCTTGTTACGTGACCACTCGCTCTTGGGAGCCTTGGTGATCAGAGCTTGTCACGTCTATGTGAACTCTGGGTTCGCCTTGGTGTTAGAAGCTTCTTACGTCACCACTCGCTCGTGGGAGTCTTTGTGAGAAGAGCGGTTTACGTCACCGCTCACTTTTTCAAATCCTTGGTGTGAGGGGCTTGATGCGTCACTGTGAGCTCTTCGGAACCTCTGATATTTGGCGTTATTGAAGCTTCTTGGAGGTCCTTTTGGGGCCCTTATGGGCCGTCCTGGGCCCTCGGGGGCCGCCTGGGGGCAATCTTGAGCCCACCCGGAGCGTTTTGGAAGCCTTTGGCCGTCTTGGGGCTCTCTTGGGGGCCTCTTCGGGCCCTCTTGGGAGCCTCGTGGGGCCATATTGGGCGGGCCCTCTTGGGAGCCTCTTGGGGCCATATTGGGGCTCTCTTGTGGCCGTCTTGGGGCCTGTTGGGCCGGTTTGGGGCCCTCTTGGGCCTTCTTGGGGCTCTCTTGGATTATTTTCGGGCCCTCTTGGAGGCTTCTTGGGCCGTTTTGGGACAATCTTTGGGGCCTCTTGGGCCGTCTAGGGCCGTCCCTAGCCAGAAGAAACGACTACTCCGAGGGAAGGGCCCCACATGAGAATGCATTTAGCTTGCCCATCGCTTGTTCCCCTTCGCCTTGGCGGATGCCCTCCTCCCGCCCTCTGTTGCGCCTCCTCCTCCTCCTCCGCCTCCTCCTCGTCCTCCTCGTCCTCCTCGTTCCATATCTTCTCCTCCTCCTCCTCCTCCTCCTCCTCCTCCTCCTCCACCCCTTCCTCATCTCAATCCCGCATGTTCTCCTCATGCACCTCTCCTTCTGGTCGGGGCACGCATGCAGATTTTCCTCGGCACCCTCGCCGCCAGGCCAGAAGGGGCACGTTCTCCGATGGCTGGTAGAAGTTTCCGATAACCCGCTCGGATCACCGACATAGAAACGCGGGCCCCAAATGCTTCCCCGCCATTCATTCACAATCGAGGCTCCCGCTGGAGACATCCTCTCGATTTGCCCTCTCGGGGTTCTCACATGCGATGCCTGGTAGATGATTCCGATGGGTTCAATCATGAAGCGCATGCCCTCATAGGGAGGAGGGCTTCCGCCTGAGAACTCCCCGTCATTCACTCACAAGCGAAGCCCCCGATCGAGACATCCTCACAAAGCGCAGCCTTGGCGTGCTCAGATTCCCAGCATCCCGATGATGGTGATTATGCTTATAATTATGATGATGCTGCTGCTGGTGATGATGATTATGATGCTGCTGCTGATGATGGTGATGCTGATGATGCTGCTGCTGCTGATGGTGATGATGATGGTGATGATGATGGTGCTGATGCTGATGCTGATGCTGATGACTATGATGATGATGATGATGATGA